GATGCCGGGGGAGGTGCAGAAGCTACGAGGCAATGCCAGGGGCAAAAAGGGGTTGGACCTGGGCCAGGAGTTTTTTATGTCTTTCTCACCCAAAGTTCATGTGTTCAGTTTAGGTCTATAACTTACTCCCAACGTTTTCTGAAGACAGCTACTATTTTGGAGTTGAAGAATCTGATTTACCTGACTGTTGGATAAATAGGAGAAACCAGACAGCAGGCCTTCCAGCCATTAACTGTTTTGATGTGCCAGAGGAGAGCTGGAAGGATTGCTACAGGATGCTGCAGTTACGCTCATCTCACATCCAGAAACGCTCCTACAGCCCGGTTAAGGTACGAGCCCTCCAGCCCTACCTCACACTCCTCTTCCTCCCAGAAAGGATTACTCAGGGTGCTGGGGGCACCCAGTCCCTCACCCAGCCCATGTCTGTGCTCACGAACTATACTCTTACATTGCCCAAATAACATGCCCTGCCCCTTGCTTCGCCAGCCCAGGACAGACATGTGAAATGCATCTGTCATTCCAGGCACAGCGGCATTTCACAGGGACAGGGCTAAGCTTTGCTCTTCCCATCACAAATCTGGGCTTGGAGTAAACACCATAGTTTGGCCTGGTATTCCCCTGCTTTTTTGGAAGTCCATGTTTCCCACTGGCAGCAAACTCAGGGGATGGGGCTGTTTGGGAATGGAGCGGGCGGAGCAGATCCACCAGATCTTTTCCAACTGCCCCTGGTGCAGCAGCTTCCCCTGGCACAGCTATTCCTCTCCTGCACTCCCATTGCAGTGTGGCCAGGGGTCCTGATCTTCAGGAGCTCTCTTCTGGCATGGGGCTTTAAACGCATGTTGATTCCTTGCTTCAGAGAGGGATGGAAAGGTGTTTCGGTACCCCTGGGCTTCAGCATGGTGCTACTCTCTCTCATGTGTCATGTTTCAGGTCGCAGGTTTAAAAACTATCACCAACGCTCAGCTGGGCTGTGCAGCAAGCATCCAGTTCAAAGGGTACACAAGCCCTTCAGACCCCCAAGGTGAGTGGGAGAGAATCTGAAACAGCCTCCATGCTGGCTGCAGAAGGATGGCTGGGTCATCCTGCCTCTTCCCATCCTTTCTGGCAGCATGTTCAAGTCATGGTCCTTTTGCAGGAGGACTGGAGGAGGATGAGCAGGTGGGTGTCACACAGGACACAGGGATGCAGATGGATTGCCTGGGGACATGGCTGTGGGAGCTGGTCCCTGTGGGGTGAGTAAGGAGCCCTAGCAGACCTCAAGCTAGGGGACTGCCCTTATTGCATCAGCTTCACCTCTGGGTGCAGTGTCCACACCTCCAGTTCAGTGTCCATGTATCCAGGAGTGACACTGAGACATGTCCAGCCCCTTCCCTTGGACCTCAGCACCGACCCTCGGAGAGACCAGGGCAGTCTGTCTTGTAGGCAGGGGATGCTGTAAGAGATAAGAGCACTGATGGTACCTCTGCTCATCTCCAAGCATGTGATGGCCAGCAGTGGTCCCCAGGACCTAGAGAAAGGGGGTTGGCATGCTCCTTATGCTGGCTCTGCCCACCAGACCCAGCATGCAAGGTCTGTCCGTCTTCCACACCCTGCAGGGAGGGGGGCTCTGCGGAGATGACGGTGACGGTGCCCGATGTCATCACTGAGTGGGAAGCCGGGATGTTCTGTACATCCCCGCAGGGCTTGGGGCTGGCCCCTGAAACCACCCTCACAGCCTTCAAGCCCTTCGTCATGGAGCTGGCGCTGCCCTACGTTGTGGTCCACCACGAAGCCTTCACCCTCGTGGCCACCATCTTCAACTACTTGCAGCAGTGCCTGCAGGTGAGTGGGGCTGGGGAGGAGGCCCTGGGTCTGGGGTCCAGCGGGGGCTGATGGAGCCATGGCCATGGTCCGGCAGGTTCAGGTGACGCTGGCGGAATCAGCGGACCTGGAAGTGTCAGCAGGCTCAGACGAGGCGTACAGAGGCTGTGTCTGCGTGGATGAAGAAAGGACATTCCAGTGGAGCATGCGAGCCACCAGCCTGGGTATGGAGGGGATGGCAAAGGGCTGGGGAGGGGCAGCAGAGCCCAGCAATGAGACTTCTTGCAAAACTCCTCTTTGTCACTGCTTTTCTGATCCTTTCCTCCCCTCCCAGCTCCCTCTCCCCTCCCTTCTCTCCCCTTTCTCTTCTCCACTCTCCAGCCTCTTCCCTCCGTTTCCTGGTCCCATTGCACCCACTGCACCCTTCTCCTTCCCCAGCTGTCCAGGATGGCTCTGAGCTGGAGCCAGCCCCTGAGGCAGTGTCACAGCCATGTCCCCCGTCTGCCTCTGCAGGGAAGGTGAATGTCACTGTCATTGCCAAGACCCTGCACTCCGAGAAGCTCTGCAGCACTGAGATACCCATGGTGCCAACCCAGGGGTACATGGACACCAAGACAAAACTCCTGATAGTGCAGGTGAGCAGAGTGAGGTGGTGGGCTTGGTGGGCTTGCACCATCCTCTCACTGGGAGCAGAGCTGCACCCAAAGCACTTCACCCCAGAGCAGAGCAGAGCATCTCCCCATCCCTCAGCCAGGCTGGATGGTGCCTGTGGGTGCTGCAAGGTGCAGGGAGAGCACCAGCACCCAGAGCAAGTGTCCTCGTTTCGGCTGGGATAGAGTTAATTTTCTTCCTAGCTGAAACCAGGACAGCAAGGTGAGAGTCTGTGTGCATGCTTAGGTACCGTCAGTGGGATGATGCCTTCCCTTCCCTTTTGGGGTGAGATTGATAGATTTGAGGCCGCTGGCTGTGAGATGTTCAGTTTGCTCCCCTCATCGCACCATGCATGGGGCTGCTCCAAGGACAGCCTGGCTTGGCCCACGTGGCCCTGAGCTTTTCTGGCCCAACAGAGCCAATGGGCTGCTGGTGGGGATGGGTTCCAGGCAGGGCGTTTGTCAGAGGCAGGGAGGCATTTCTGGGACATAGAAGGGCAGGCTGTCTCTGATTCCGGTCTCATGCATGCTGTATTCCTGGTTTTTAAGCCTCCAAGATTGATGTGAAGGAAAATTGCAGCTGCCTGGCTGTCCCTCTGCTCCCAGCCCTGTCGTACCACACCACACAGCCACGGTCTTGAGGGCTGGAAGCCTTTTCCCATCCCTTCATCCCCTTTGCCTGACCCAGCAGGAGCCTGAAGCAACATGGTTGAGATGAAGACTCCGAAACCAAGCCCCACTCCCCAGCAGCCCTGCCATCCCATGGGGTTCGGGGGCTGCCTGGGGAGCAGCTGCTTTGCTGCCCACCGTGGAGTCGTGATTTCCCTTGAGATGATGCCAATGCAATCCCCTGGAGAGGGGACCAGGGCAGGTGAGCTGACCCTGGGCTGACAAAAAGCCTTGGCAGATCAGTGCAAGCCTGATGGCTGGGCAGGGAGAGGATGCTCAGGGCTGCCCTGAGTGCAGCCCTGGCCCTGTCCGTGCTCAGCTAGGCTGAAAATGAATAAAAATGCAAGTGGGATAAGGGAAGTGGAAGCAGAAAAATGTTTTTTTTGCAAGAAAGCTCCCTTTCTTGAAGCTCTTTCCCACTATCCCTGGCCAAAGCCAGCCCTGTGTCCCAAAACACACTTTGTTTTAGGGGTTCAGCATTCCTGTCCACCTTAATGATATGTAAGAGGGAGCATACCTTCACTTTGCTTTGTTGAATAAAAAGCTGAGACCAAACCAGAGAGAACATTCATTGCGTGGACAGCAAGGCAGCAGAAGAAACAGCACAACATGGGGTCAGCGGTGCCTGGTCAGGAGGGGCTGGGGGACAACGCACTCTGGCTCCTGCCCTGAAGCCATCAGCAGCACCGAATGACAAATCCTCTGTGCAATATTTCCCCTCAGCAGCCCCACAGGCACCGATCGGAGAGGCAGAGGCCCCCCCTGCTCCTGAATCGATTTCCCCTTGGCCACGCTGCTCATAGCCCCCACTGCATCCGGCCCGGTGGCCTGAAGGGGCCGATGGCCCCAAGCTCCTTGTCACGTTGAACTGTCCCCAAGATGCCTGTCGGGACACTGACCCATGCCCCTGGAGCGGCAGGATGGGCACGGGGCCATGCTCCCGCCTCGCGTCCACGGGGGTGGTGGGGACCAGCCTCGTCCGGACACTGACAGCGCGCGGGGCCGCTCCCAAGGGGCAGGGAGGCGAGCACAGGGCTGTATCCAGCAATACTCGAGCAGGGCAGGCGTGGGGTCAGCAGCCACGGTCATCCGAGAGCACACGGGAAAGAGGTCAGCCCCATCCACGGCTTCCCACAGCACTGCTGCTGCCTCTCCCCTTCTCCCCAAAGGGAAGGGGACCACAAAACTCTGGAGCAGAGGATGCGCTCAGGACACTGTGGAGCTGCCTCAACTTTCCTAAATTCTCCCCAGGACAGAAAGAGGCAGCTCAGCGCGTGCCCCGGCTGGTGTCCGGCTCCCAGCCGCAGTGCACAGAGGAGTGAGAGCAGGTGGAGCTGGCACAGCAGCCCAACGCCATCCTGCTCCTGTGTCCGTAACTGATCTGATGAAGTTGGAGGAAACTGAGCAGAAGGGCAGCCTGAGACCTGCGATCAGCCCAAATAGCTACTGTTTGGCTAAATGTGAAACACCCGGAAACAAGGCCTTCTGAGAAATCGCCACCGACTTACAGACTGTTCTCATGATGTGCTGCCTACTTTCGTCTGGGAAACTCATTCCCCCTCCCTCCTACCATCATTTCCCAGAAAACCAGTGTGTAAGTGGGTCCTGCCCCCTGCGTTTGAACCTCTATAGCCTATGGGAACCTTTCCTCAAATTGCAAAAATCTGTCAGAGCCTTGAACCCAGGAGGCTGTGGGCAGATGGTAAACACTGCCTTCGCTATATCTGCAGGTCCACGCAGGATCCCTCTGCCAACCCTTGTTCGCTCGCTGGATGGAAAGCAGAGATCTCATTTTGGAACCTGCAGCAGAGCAGACGCAGCAATCCAACACCTGGAGAAGGAGGCTGTGGCCGTCCCCCACGTCCGCTTGAAGCCGGAGACATGAGGTCCCCAGCTGCCCTGCCCGTCCTGCTGTTCCTCTTTCTGCACCTCACAGCCGGGGTGTCTGCAGCACAGTAAGCCCTCTCCGTGTCTGTCTGTCTGCCCGTGCCTGCCGGGAGGGCATTTAGTCTTGGCTCCTTGGCAGTATGTAGTGGGAGTTAATCCTTCCCGTGCACGCAATTTTTGGCCAGGGTGGAAATGCTTGGGCTGGTGGGTTGTCCCTGCCCATGAGCATTGAGGGCTTGGCACCTGGGGGCTGCTGGGGCTGGTGGCTCTGCGACGGTTTATTGTAGGTGCTGCCTCGCTTGCAGCCAACGTGTGAGCAGAGCCTTTGCTTTTCTGAGCTGAGAAGTCAAGGGGAGCCCAGAAGCAGAGCGGGGAGGCGGGGGGAGGTGGCCCTGCACCCCAGCACAGGTTTCTGTGTGCCCTGGAGCTCTTCAAGACCTCCGTGGGGTCTGTATGGGATGTGCCTCATCCCTACGCAACTCATGTCAGCATTTCTCCTTGCCAGGACTTATGTGGTCACATGCCCAGCTGTGATCTACCACCCCTACACAGCGGTGATGTGGGTCCATCTCAGTGGCCTCCATGAGCCCATCCAGGTGACCATCCAGCTGCAGAGAGCAGATGGGACCCCTAACATCACCCTGCTGGAGAGGGAGGTCCGGGACCCTCATCTGTACTTGAACATCACCTTCCCTGTGAGTGTCACCCCACGCACAGCCGTGAGCATGGAGGGGGATGCCCTGGACACCCCGCTGTCTCCAGACAGAGCAGTTTCCACCAGCTCCCCAGCATGGGGCTGTGGTCCCACATGGGGCTGGGAGCAGGCATGACTTCCCCATCTTTTGGTAGGGTCTCATCCCCCACGCAGGCAAAATGACTCTAGGCTCAGCCCAGTTATTCGGTGGCTGAAATAATCCCCCGATAGCAGACCTGCAGCCTAGTGCAGGGTGTTGGGGGGATATTTCTTCCCAGCCCCTGGACTGGGGAAGGTGTCCCTGTGGGTGAGGAGTGCTCTGGGTCACTCAGAGTGAGCAGAGCATCCTGGCCAGGGCATATCCCTTGTCCTCACCCGGTTCCTGGTGTTTCCCCTGGCAGGCTCCAGCCCCCGCCAAAGGGACGGAGGAAATCGTAGACCTGCACGTCTCAATCCAGGGAGATTCCCTGGATGTCTCCAAGAAGAAGAAGGTGATGCTGAGAGCCCTGGAGCCTGGGATCTTCATACAGACGGACAAGGCTGTCTACAAGCCTGGACAGCAAGGTGAGGCGGGCAGGATGGACCACCCTGCTCTGGGCTGAAGGACCTGGTTGGGAGAGGGGTGCAGGGAGCTCAGCCTTGCTCCTATGCTGCATGGCAATAGGAGGGCTCACCTTGGGATGCACTGGGACCCCCAGCACTGGCCCAGGGCAATGCCAGGACACGCTGGCAGCACTGCAGGCTGTGCTGCTTGGGGGCAGCGACCCACTGCAGGGCTCAAGGTGGATTTCCATCCACCTTCCCCATGGGGAACCCCCCTCCCTGCAGATGCACTCACCACTCACTCCAGCATCCCTGTTTGCTCTTTCCAGTGAAGTTTCGAATTGTCTCTTTGGATAAAGACTTCACTCCCAGCAGTAAAAAGGTGAGAGCAGGGCTGGGGAAGGGAGGAGGCGACAGGACTCCTCTGCACTGCCCTCCTACACCCTCAGCAAGCCGTGAGAGAGGTGTGGGAGCCATCCAGGGCCTTTCCCCTTGGGAATCCTGCCCCAGCCAGCTCTGCCTGGGTGGCTGCGCTCCCCAGGGGCAGGGATGCCCTGTGTTGTTCACGCAGGCTTCAGCAGGCTAAGGAAAGAGAAAGCAGAACTGCACATGTGACATGGGAATGCACCGGCTTAAACTTTCGGTTAGGGATGTAGTGATGGCAAAGTGCTATTGATATCCATCAAGTAATCAGATGCCAAGATTACAGGCGAGTTCAGTTTCGGGCACCCCCGAGCATTCATCTGGGTCTCTGGAAGTGCAGGATGTTCCCAGATGAAATGGTTGCTGGCTTCTTGTGAAGGCAGTAGGAGATGCCACCTCCCCACGCCATGCTGGCAGTGCCCTTAGCTCACCCCAGCTAGAGCTGCAGACATCTCCACGCCATGCTGGCAGTGCCCTTAGCTCATCCCAGCTAGGGCTGCAGATGGGCTCGAAGTCAATCCCAAAGCAAACTGAAGGGTTGGGAGTTCACAGCATCCCACGGATAACCCTCACTCTACTCCAACCATGGCTTCATAGATGTCCCCACCCTGGTGAGACCCTAAGGCTTTGAATTTCTCCTCTAACCATCTTCTCTTTGCCTTGCAGCTGCCCCTTGTGTTCCTGAAGGTCAGTCTGAGAGATGGAGGGAGGCTCTGGGCAGTGTGGGCTTGGGAAGGCAGCGTGGCTGGGAGAGAAGCATAACGCAGCCATGGGCTGTTTTATCAAGGGGTGCTGGGGTCCCCTGGGTGCTGATGTCGCATGTCCCTGTGTGCAGGATCCCAGCGGGAACCGCATCGCGCAGTGGCGGGACGTGAGCCCACAGCAGGGCATTGTAGACCTGTCCCTTCCGCTGGCTGCAGAGCCGGCCCTGGGCACATACACCATTGAGGTGGAGGGGAAGAGACGCTCCTTCAGCGTGGAGGAATATGGTACGTGGGGACTGGGGGGTACATGGTGGGTGGGAGCCCCACCTCAGCATGTCCCTCTGGGCAGCATGTCTTTGCCCCCCTGGCCATCCAGGCACCATTGTCCTTGTCCTGTGAGTGACAACCTTCTCTCCTTTTGCTTCTCCATCAGTGCTGCCCAAGTTTGAGATGACCATTGATCTTCCCGCTGTGGTGCTGGAGAAGGACAAGAAAGTCCGGATGGAGATTTGTGGACGGTGAGCCCAAAACAGGCTGTGTCAGGAAGAGGAAGGGGATGGGGGATTCCGACATGATGCCCATCAGGCACACCCTCACGACCCTCCACTGAACAGGTACACCTATGGGAAGCCAGTCCAGGGGAAGGTCCAGGCCAGCTTGTGCCAGCCCTTCAGGTACAACAGGATCCTGCACAGACTTAATAGGGCACCCGAGAAAGAGATGAACTGCATCGAGGTTGGCGGGCAGGTGAGCACTGCTGGGGAGTGCCACTGGGACAGCCCCTTCCCAGGACTGCTGCTAACAGGGTTGACTCTGTCCCTCCAGACCGAGAAGAACGGCTGCTTTTCAACAGAGATTTTGTTGACTGCCTTCAACCTGACCAGCCACATGTATCAGAAACAATTCCAAGTCCAAGCATCACTGGTGGAGAACGGTACAGGTAGGGACGGCGGTGTTCTCCTCCTTGGGAATGGCCATTGCCGCCGGTGCGTAGTTTTGCATTCATCCCCATGTACACCCAAATGCATGTGGCACGGGGATATTGGTCTTCTCCGGGGAAGCCCAAAAGCAACACTGTGATTTAGTCAAGCACTGGCACAGGTTGCCCAGAGAGGCGGTGGAGGCCCCATCCCAGGAAACATCCCACGTCAGGTTGGACGGGGCTCTGAGCACCCTGCTCTGGTTAAAGCTGTCCCTGCTCGCTGCAGGGGTTGGGATGGGTGGGCTCTAAAGGTCCCTTCCAACCCAAAGCATTCCATGATTCTATGATTTAGAGGTGCACGTGTGCAGGGACCGGGTCCAGGTGGGGATGAGACAGGTCGGCCAGGCAGTACTTCTAATTCTGACCAGAGAAATGGTTGGGAAGCAAAAATGCCTTTCCAAGACCCAACAACTCTCCCGATGCTATGGCTAGCAGTGAGTCAAGTCCTTGCAACACAAAGCAGTGGTTTCACCCAGTCTGGTGTGGCTTCATTCTTCAAGATAATCCACCTCACCCACCACCTTGGTCCCACCAGAAAATGCTGCCAGTGGCTTGGCTTCAGAAAAAAGAGCAGGGGTTGTCCCAGGCCCACCATTACCGAGGTGGCCCTGCATCATGGTGCTTTGGTGAAGCACCTTTTGTGAAGTCCCAGCAGTCAGCTGTGCTTTGGCTTTAGGTCTAAAACATGCCGTAGAGGTTTTGCTCCTCTTGTAGGAGGTGCGAACTGTGCTCGAAGCTGCCAGTTGCAGAGGGAAAGCCTAAAACATCCAGGGACCATTTCTGCACTGTGATGGGGGAACTGGCAGTGCTAACCGGTGCCCTGTGTCCCCACAACACCCTGAGCTCCCCACTCCCTCTCCACAGGGCTGGAGCTGAAAACCACCAAGAACTGCATGATTTTACCTGAAATGCTCACTGTTACCTTCGAAAACACCAATGAATTCTACAAGCCTGGGATTCGCTACACTGGGACGGTAATGGGGGGGGGGGTCCCTGCACCCCGCAGGGCTCCCCCTACACCCAACCCTGATCCCACTGACCTCCAACCCTGCTCTCCCACCCCTGCCCTCTGCCCCATGCCTGCAGCCTAACCTGGGGCATGTCCCCTTCCCTCCCGGTGCAGATGCTGCTGAAGAGAGCTGACAGCACCATGCCACCACAGAAGGAGCTCTTGCTCATCGTTAGCCAGCAAGGAAAAGATACGAGACAGACCTTCCTGACAGACAGATCAGGGAGAGCTTCCTTCAAGCTGGAGACCTCTGATTGGAGTGGCATGGTCTCCCTGCTTGTAAGTGACCCGTTTCCCACCCCTCGGGGGTCCCTGTGCTGCTTTCTCCAGTAGTATGGGGCTGGGCACCTCTCCAAGCCGAGAACCTGCATCAGTGGTGCCCAGTGATGGGACCAGCACCTTGTGGATTCTGGACAGCTTCACCACCTTGATTTCTACCTCCATCGCTCAGGGTCAAGTCAACGAGGCAGCTCACACCCAGAATGACAGCTCAACACTCATCTACCAAAATGCCGAGATGTACCTCAGCCCCTTCTTTTCAGCGGGCAGGAGCTTCCTGCGGATCCGCCAGCTGGAGAGTGAGCTGCCCTGCGGCCAGCCCCAGCAGCTCTGGGTGGATTACATCTTCAGCAAGAAGTCCCTGGGGACTCAGCTGCAGAGCCTGGATGTGGTCTTCCTGGTAAGCCCCGGCCTGGGGAGGAAGGGCAGCGGGCATTAGGGCGGTTGTGTGTGAAGGTCCACATCTACACACATGTTCAGGGTTGTGTCCCTGAGGACAAGACAATGAGCAATCTGTCCTGGCTAGACAGAGGGACCTACGCCTCTTAGTAGAGGTATCTGCTGGCACTGTTGGACATGCATGCCAATGGGAGATGTTGTGGGGTCTGGAGACAGGGCAAGGTCAAAAACCATCCTGACATTCTCACCCTTGGGTCCATCCTTCACGAGGGCATTTTGGTTCCCTGCTCAGCATCAGTTTCGTTGTTCCTATCTCCTCCTCTGCAGGTCCTGGCCAAGGGGACAATTGTCTCCATCCTCAAGAAAGAGCTGCGTGCAGAGGCTGGTAGGTCCTGAGGCATGGACGGGCTGTGCAGGGCTCTGCTTTCCACGCCTGGTTCTCATCTCCCCTCCTTTCCCACGGCCCAGGGCTGAGAGGCTCCTTCTCCCTGGAGCTGCCCATTGGCCCCGAGCTGGCACCCATGGCCAAGGTGCTGGGCTACGTGGTGCTGCCTGACAGTGAGATGGTGGCTGACAGCACCGAGCTCAAGGTGGCCAAGTGCTTCCCCAACAAGGTGAGTGGAGGCTGCTGGCGATGGGGGAATCACTCCATGGCTTGTCCATAGCTGCATGCCCTGAGGTCCATCCTGCTCCAGATGTATCACTGCATCACAGTCTCTTTAACCCGTGCCCTGTTCCCCAAACCCTTGAGCCTGCTTTTATCCTTGCCTGGAAGAGACCTCCATGTCTGTGGCTTGGTCCTGCTCCTCCATGGGAGGTGGCTCCCCCTCCTGCTTTCGCCCCCTGATGCCTCTGTCCCTCCCCAGGTGAAGATGGCTTTTTCGGAGGACAAGGCTCTGCCTGGCTCAGCGCTGTGGCTGGAGCTGGAGGCTGCCCCAGGGTCCCTGTGTGCCATCCGTGCCGTGGACCGCAGCGTGCTGCTCTTGAAGCCTGAGGCTGAGATCAATGCGGAGGCGGTGAGTGGTGGCAGTGCCCAGGGCCCCTTCTGCAGCCCCAGGGACCAGCTGGGGATGGCGGGGGAAGAGATGACATTGGCTTGGACCTTCCCTATGGGGGCTCAGTGCCATGGTGGCTCCTGGGCAGTCCTACTCCTGGGCAGGGGGTAGGTGCCTGGCTGGTTTTGTACCTAGCACATGCATTTATTCGCAGGTCTACAAAATACTCCCCGAATTTGACTACCCTGAAAGCATTCAGGACCCACAACCCTGTTTGCCATTTCCCTGGCACTATCGCCCCAATTTTGTCATTCCCACCATCCCATTTGGACTGAGACAGCGAGACTTCTTTCGCCTTCCAAGGAGGCATCCCTTACCTTTCCCTATTCGGAGGTATTTCCAGATGGACACCTACAAGTTATTTCAGGTAAAGGCCCTGCCCACCTGTGCCTCCTGGTTCCTCTTCATCCAGGAGCCAGCTGCGGTTTGCTCAGGGTGCTGAGAAACCACAGCAACCTCCTGTGAAAGCCACATTCATGGCAAAGGTCTTTTGCTTTCCCACGGACGCTAGGCTCCGGTCCTCCTCCACTTGTCGTCTTCTGCAGCCCTGTGACTATTTACTGCTGGGATGGGGATATTCCTCCTGCTGGGTTTTGGAGATGGACAACCTCTTTTCTTTTTCACAGAATGCAGCACTGAAACTTTTCACCAATGCCCAGACCAACGATGCTTGCAAAGAGAGGTTCGGCTTGCCTGGGATGGCGGGTCCCGAAGGTCCCAGAGGTCAGCACAGCCCTCAGCTTGCTTGCTCTGCTGAGCCCTCTCAGGAGAAAAGAGCAAAGATCTGGTGCCTGGTCCTGGCTCCCATGTCCTCAGGGGGACTTGGAGCCATCCTGAAAATACACTCGGCATCAAAGAGATTGAAGTGCATTGAAAAGGATTTTGACCACCTTCGGGCTGCCTGCAGGCGGGGTCCAGCTGAGATGCAGAGACCTGTGGACACTAATTCCTGCTCTGCCTTTTCCAGGTGGTTCTTATCTCCACGTCGCCTATTTCCAGGAAGAAGTTGATGATAGACAAGTCAGGGGCCACGCTGTCCCAGAAGTAATGGACCATGATATTACAGTTACCACTGCACTGGAAGAGCCATCAGCACCCCGGACGTATTTCCCAGAGACGTGGCTGTGGGACCTGGTCCCCATGGGGTAAGGACGGTCCCCATGGGTCCCCATGGTCCTCTCCCCACCTCTTCTCCTACATGGAAGGAGGTTGGGGACCTCACAGGGAGAGAGCCAACCCAGCTGGGGATGACACCAGCTGTGGGTGAACATGGTGGGATGGCCTCATGGTGTTTTCCGTCCCGCAGGGAGCGGGGCTCTGTGGAGATGACGGTGACGGTGCCCGACACCATCACCGAGTGGGAAGCTGGGATGTTCTGTACATCCCCGCAGGGCTTGGGGCTGGCCCCTGCCACCACCCTCACAGCCTTCAAGCCCTTCTTCGTGGAGCTGGCGCTGCCCTATGCCGTGGTCCGCCATGAAGCCTTCACCCTCGTGGCCACCGTCTTCAACTACTTGCGGCAGTGCCTGCAGGTGAGTGGGGCTGGGGAGGAGGCCCTGGGTCTGGGGTCCAGCGGGGGCTGATGGAGCCTTGGCCGCGGTCCGGCAGGTTCAGGTGTCGCTGGAGGTGTCAACGGAGCTGGAGGTGTCGGCGAGCACAGACGAGGCGTATGGTGGTTGCATCTGTGCAGACGAAGCGAGGACATTCCGATGGGGCATGCGAGCCACCAGCCTGGGTATGGGACACGGGGCCATGGCAGGACCCCCCTGCCCTGCTGCTTGGGGACCCCCTTGGAGGATGGGGTGGGAAGGGAGGACAGGAGCAAATGCAATGCCACCCTCTCACCCTCCCCATTGCCTCCCAGCACTGCTCCTCAACCTGGTGACCCCCATTCCAATCCAGCCAGCCCCACACAAAGCCCCAGGGCTGATGCAAGCCTGTGGGGCTGCTGTGCAGGCTGGGGGGCTCCGTAGGGACTAAGTGCCCCACTTGCATCTGCAGGGGAGGTGAACATCACCATCAGCACTGAGGCCCTCAGCTCCAAGGAGTTCTGCGGCAACGAAATGCCTGTGGTGCCAGCCCAGGGGCGCGTGGACACCGTGATAAAGCCCTTGCTGGTGCAGGTCAGATGGGTTACGGAGGAGGAAAGTGGGATGGGTTTGGGGACAGTGTCCGAGCAGCCCTTGGGGTGCAGCGGGAGGACTGGGAGCAGGACAGCAGGCATGACCCTGGGGGACATGTCTGGTCCCTCCTCCTGATCGACTCTGATGCTGCTTCCCCACAGCCCGGGGGGATCCTGGTGGAGAAGGCGCACAATTCCCTGCTCTGCCAGGAAGGTAGGACTGGCTGGGGATGTCCAGCAGTGCCGTGGGGACGTGGGGCAGGGACGCTTGACCAGTGGTAGGAAGGGCCACCAGGCTAGCGAAGCCAAGGACCAGGGTCCATAGATGCTCGTGGCTGAGATGCCCCAACCCAGCCTTGAGACCATGGAGGGTCAGAGCAGAAAGGGGGGGGCGAGGGTGCCATGGGGCTGGGCCGGGAGGAGCTAGGCATCCTCACTGTCTTTGCCCTCCATCCCCACAGACAATGAAAAAATCTCCCTGGAAGTCCCTGCAAACATCTTGGAGGGCTCCCAGCGAGCGCACGTCACCGTGATGGGTAAGGGATAGGTGGGGGACGGGGACCACCTGGGGCAAGGAGGATGCAGAGCTCTGTGGCCCAAGCTCAGCAGGAGGTGGGACCACCCGAAGCTGAGATGGGAGGGGATACAGGGTGTATCCCTGGCAGGAGGCCACAGCCAGTGATGGTGCTCTTCATGTGCCCCTGAGATAGGCGACATCATGGGCAACGCTCTGCAGAACCTGGACCACCTCCTGGCCATGCCCTACGGCTGCGGGGAGCAGAACATGGTCCGCTTCGCCCCCAACATCTACATCCAGCAGTACCTGGAGAAGACTGGGCAGCTGCAGCCCGACATCCGTGCCAAGGCGCAGGGCTTCCTGCAGAGCGGTGAGCGACCCCGGTCCCCTCCTCTCCCTGTCCCACCCTGCGTGGCTGCCGAGGGACACCACCACCCCACATCCCCCCTCCCCATTTTCTACCTGCTCCCCCGGGCCACGGTCCGCTGTCCCCCAGGAGTGTAAAGACCACCGTGTAAAGACTCGTTCCCATCTCCTCCCTGCAGGGTACCAGCGAGAGCTGCTCTACAAACACGATGATGGCTCTTACAGCGCCTTCGGGAAGAGCGATCCCACGGGCAATACCTGGTGAGGGACTGTGCAGGGCTCCGGCAGGCTGTGCAGTGGCATCCCTCTGGGGACCGGCCGTCCTGGGGCTCCTCCTACCACCAAGCGTACCCAGTCCGTCTCCCATCTCTCTGACATCTCTCTGGCCCGTAGGCTGACGGCGTTTGTCCTCAAGTCCTTCGGACAAGCCAGAGCCTACGTGGCCATCGAGGAGCGGCACATCACGGACGCACTGCGCTGGTTGCAGAAGCAGCAGCAGCAGCAGACAGGCTGCTTCCGCAACGTGGGGAAGCTCTTCAACAACGCCCTGCAGGTGGGTGGGTGGGGTGGGACATGAGGACATGCAGCCAGAGCTGGGTTCGCCCCAGCACGTCCCTGGTGTGTGGTCGAGGCAGTGGGGGAGTCCCTGTGCCGGTGGCACGGCACGGCCGGACCTGTCTCCCGCTGTCCCCTTTGCAGGGTGGCGTCT